TTAGCCTGGAGGTCAAATCACCCCCAGTATTGCCGACAACAATCAAGGCTTAACTACAACAAGACTGTACACAAAGACCACTAGGGGGTGCACCAAGAAAAGATAAAAAAATGCAGAGACAAAGAAACAGGACGCAAATGTCAGAAATGGAAGATATAGAGCTCAAAACCACACTTTTAAGGTCTTTCAATAATTTTCTAAAAACTGCCGATAAATGTAGTGAGATCCTCAAGAAATCTAATGAGACCCTCGATGTTATGATAAAGAACCAACTAGAAATTAAGCATACACTGACTGAAATAAAGAATATTATACAGATACCCAACAGCAGACCAGAGGAGCGCAAGAATCAAGTCAAAGATTCGAAATGAGAAGAAGCAAAAAACACCCAACTGGAAAAGCAAAATGAAAAAAGAATCCGAAAATATGAAGATAGTGTAAGGAGCCTCTGGGACAGCTTCAAGAGTACCAACATCAGAATTATAGGGGTGCCAGAAGATGAGAGAGAGCAAGATATTGAAAACCTATTTGAAGAAATAATGACAGAAAACTTCCCCCACCTGGTGAAAGAAATAGATTTACAGGTCCAGGAAGTGCAGAGAACCCCAAACAAAAGGAATCCAAAGAGGACCACACCAAGACACATCATAATTAAAATGCCAAGAGCAAAAGACAAAAAGAGAATCTTAAAAGCAGCAAGAGAAAGAAACTCAGTTACCTACAAGGGAATACCCATACGACTGTCAGCTGATTTCTCAACAGAAACTTTGCAGGCCAGAAGGGAATGGTAAGAAATATTCAAAGTGATGAATACCAAGAACCTACAACCAAGATTACTTTATCCAGCAAAGCTATCATTCAGAACTGAAGGTCAGATAAAGAGCTTCACAGATAAGGAAAAGCTAAAGGAGTTCATCACCACCAAACCAGTATTATATGAAATGCTGAAAGGTATCCTTTAAGAAGAGGAAGAAGAAGAAAAAGGTAAAGATACAAATTATGAACAACAAATATGCATCTATCAACAAGTGAATCTAAGAATCAAGTGAATAAATAATCTGGTGATCATAATAGAATCAGGGACATAGAAAGGGAATGGACTGACTATTCTTTGGGGGGGAAAGGGGTGTGGGAGATGCGGGAAGAGACTGGACAAAAATCGTGCACCTATGGATGAGGACAGCGGGTGGGGAGTGAGGGCGGAGGGTGGGGCGGGAACTGGGAGGAGGGGAGTTATGGGGGGAAAAAGGAGGAACAAATGTAATAATCTGAACAATAAAGATTTAATTTAAAAAAAAGAATAATATACAGAGATCCAACAGCAGACAAGAGGATCCCAAGAATCAAGTCAAAGATTTGAAATATGAAGAACCAAAAAACACCCAACTAGAAGAGAAAAAAGAAAAAAGAATCCAAAAATATCAAGATAGTGTAAGGAGCCTCTGGGACAACTTCAAGAGTACCAACATCCGAATTATAGGGGTGCCAGAAGAAGAGAGAAAGCAAGATGTTGAAAACCTATTTGAAGAAATAATGACAGAAAACTTCCCCTACCTGGTGAAAGAAAGACTTACAAGTCCAGGAAGCACAGAGAACCCCAAACAAAAGGAATCCAAAGAGGACCACACCAAGACACATCATAATTAAAATGCCAAGAGGAAAAGACAAAGAGAGAATCTTAAAAGCAGCAAGAGAAACAAAGTCAGTTACCTAAACTGGAGTACCCATACAATTGTCAGCTGATTTCTCAACAGAAACCATGAAGGCAAGAAGGGAGTGGCAAGAAATATTCAAAGTGATGAATACCATGAACCTACAACCAAGATTACTTTACCCAGCAAAGCTATCATTCAGAATTGAAGGTCAGATAAAGAGCTTCACAGAGAAGAAAAAGCTAAAGGAGTTCATCCCCACCAAATCAGTATTAAATGAAATGCTGAAAGGTATTCTTTAAGAAGAGGAAGAAGAAAAAGATAAAGATAAAAATTAGGAACAACAAATACATATCTATCACCAAGTGAATCTAGAAATCAAGGGAATAAAAATTCTGATGAACAGAGTAAACTGGTGATTATAATAGAATCAGGGGCATAGAAAGGGAGTGGACTGACAATTCTTGGTGGGGAGAAGGGGGGGTGCGGGAAGAGACTGGACAAAAATTGTACACCTATGGATGAGGACGGTGGGGAGGTAAGGGCAGAGGATGGGGTGGGAACTGGGTGTAGGGGAGCTATGGGGGGGGAAGAGGAACAACTATAATAATCTGAACAATAAATATTAAAAAAAAAAGACAGGGATGCCCACTCTCAGCACTCTTGTTTGATATAGTACTGGAAGTACTAACCATTGCTATCAGACAAGAAAAAGAAATAAAAGGCATCCTAATTGGAAAAGAAGAAGTAAAACTCTCTTTTTTCACAGATGACATGATACTGTACATAGAAAACCCTAAAGACTCCATCAAGAAATTATTAGACTTAATAAATGAATTTGGTAATGTAGCAGGATACAAAATTAACACCAAGAAATCTATGGCATTTCTATACACCAATAATGAACTTACAGAAAGAGAGACTTAAAAAGCAATCCCATTTACCATCGCACCAAAAAAATTAAGATACCTAGGAATAAACCTAACTAAGGAGGTAAAAGAACTATACGCAGAAAACTACAGGACACTGAAAAAGGCGATAGAGAAAGACATAAACAGATGGAAGAACATTCGGTGTTCATGGATTGTAAAATAAACATCATCAAGATGTCCATACTACCCAAAGCAATCTATTGATTCAGTGAACTCTCCATTAAATTACCAATGGCATATTTCACAGACCTAAAAGAAACTTTTCAAAAATTCATTGGGAATTTAAAAAGACCTCGAATAGCTGCAGCAATCCTGAGAAAGAAGAACAAAGCAGGTGGGTTCTCAATACCAGATATCAAGCTGTACTACAAAACCACTGTTTTCAAAACACCCTGGTACTGCACAAGGACAGACGTATAGATCAATGGAATAGAATAGAGAACCCAGAAATTGACCCAAACCACTATGCTCAATTAATATTTGACAAAGGAGGCAAGAACATACAATGGAGTCAAGACAGCCTCTTCAATAAATGGAGTTGGAAAATTTGGACAGATACATGCAAAAAAATGAAACTAGACCACCACCTTACACCATACACAAAAACAAACTCAAAATGTATACAGGACTTAAATATAAGATGGGAAACCATAAAAATACTAGAGGAATCCACAGGCAGCAAAAATCTCAGACATATGTCGAAACAATCTCTTCACTGATACTGCTCCTAGGGCAATGGAAACTAAAGAGAAAATAAACAAATGACTACATCAAAATAAAAAGCTTCTGCACAGCAAAGGAAACCATCAACAAAATAACAAGAACGCCCACTGCATGGGAGAACATATTTGCAAATGTTATCACCGATAAAGCTTTAATCTCCAACATTTACAGGGAACTCATACAACTTAACAAAAGGAAGATAAACAACCCAATCAAAAAATGGGTAATGGACCTAAAAAGATACTTATTGAAAGAAGACAGAAGAAAGGCCAAAAGACATATGAAAACATGTTCAAAGTCATTAATCATCTGAGAGATGCAAATCAAAACGATAATGCAGTACCATCTCACACCTGTCAGAATGGCTATCATCAACAAATCAAAAAAATGACAAGTGTTGGGGAGGATGCAGAGAAAAAGGAACCCTAGTGCACTGCTGATGGTAATTCAGACTGGTGCAGCCACTGTGGAGAACAGTATGGAGTTTCCTCAAAACGTTAAAAATGGAACTCCCATTTGACCCAGTGATCCCACTTCTAGGAATATATCCCAAGGAACTAGAAACACCAATTAGAAAGGATATATGCACCTTTATGTTCATAGCCGCACAATTCACCATAGCGAAGATTTGGAAACAGCCTAAGTGCCCATCAGCAGATGAGGGATTAAAAGACTGTGGTACATCTACACAATGAAATACTATGCTGCGATAAAAAAGAAGGAGTTCTTACCATTTGCAACTGCATGGATGGAACTGGAGAGCATTATGCTAAGTGAAATAAGCCAGTCAGAGAAAGATAAATATCACATGATCTCACTCGTTTGTGGAATACAATGAACAACATAAACTGATGAACAAAAACAGATCCAGAGACAGAATAGCATTGATCAGACTGTCAAACCTCAGAGGGAAGGTAAGGGAGGTTGGGAGTAAGTGGGAGAGATCATCCAAAGGACTTATATGCATGCATATAGGCCTAACCAATGGACACAGACAACATGGGGGTGAGGGCATGAGTTGGGGGGATGGGGGTAATGTGAGGATAAGGACACATATGTAATAACGTAATCAATAAAAAAATTTTAAAAAGAGAACGTTGTATTTCCCTCTCTTTGCTCAGAGCTCAAACTAATGCAGGTCACCTACCACTCAATGTGAAATAGCTATAGGGTATAATGGGTACTTCATGTATGAGAAATGGATGCATCTACTGGCCCTGTGCTCCATGGATAAAGCAAAGACATCTAAAATAAAAATACTCTATTCCACTCCCTATTCTGAATCATGTGGTGGTTTCTCTTTAATAACCCAATTGCAGTTATTTTTCTGTCTAAAGGGTACTATTTGTCTGAAAGGTTAGTTTGTATAGCAAGCATGTCAAACTCAAAGGCTAACATGAGCCAAATAAACAAGGTTTAAGTTTATGTGGGCCGCAAAAAAACAAAAGCTTCAATTTTCATAGAAAGGTAGGTTTATTTCGATAGAGACATGCTGAATACAAAGGGCTGAAATAAATGAGTCATCATTAACATAAAATAGAAAATGTTCATAAAATTTACATATATATTATAAAATTATATATTATATATTTTATAAGATTATATATTATAAAATTTATATTTATATATTTTAATATATTTATATATATATATATTAATGGTATCAGCATCTCATAGAGGATCCAGTCCCCCTTTATTTCTTTTTCTTCTTATGGCCCCAGCAGTGGCGGCCTGCCTTCCTCCCACCTCCATTCTCTCTTCTGCTCTGCCAGCTGGGCATAGGAGCCTCAAACTCATTTGGACGTCCCCCTGGGTCTGGCACATTGCCCATAAGCACCTTGTTGATGGCACAGCTGGTCCCTCGGCGGGCAGCCTTGCTCATGGCTGGGACAAGATGAGACAGATCAGCTCGGGCAGCCAGGATGTGTGCAATGGAGACATCTGATTCTGGGGTCATAGTCTCTCGAATTGGGAACAGCACTGCCTTCATGGCCTCCCCTTTGGCCTCTGCCTGATCACTCCACTGGAATGCAAATATCGTGAGGTCCAGGTGCTTTAGGAGGAGGCTATGGCGGCAGCAGTACTGATCGCCCAGGCTTTGGCACAGGGACTCCAATGCTTCCCACCTGGGTGCGTCTAGTGGGTAGCTTAGAAGGGGCTGCAGGGATCCTGAAGGCAGGGAAGGCAGCAGCTCTGAGAAGCAGAAGGCGCAGGCCAGCGCCGGGCTCCTGCAGCGCAGTCGCGCAGTCTCCGCTGAAGAGCGCACAGTCAGGGCAGTGCAGCTCCTCCAGCAGGCGGGGTAGCTGTCGCAGGAAGTCCTCTTCCGCTCCGGGTCTATCACCTGGCACTCAGTGCCTCCGCGCCCTCCTCTCGCTCCCGCGCCAAGGCGCCCAGAGTCACCAGCTCAGCCGCCAGCCGCCAGCCAGGTGCACAGCGCCCTGAAGTCTGGGCCTTAGGGGCTCAGCGCCGCTGCCCCTAGGAAGTTCTCATACCCCAGGGCCTGCAGGTCCTGGGCTACAGCGGCCCCCTCCCGTGCCTCCGCCTCTGCCCCCTCCCAAAATTAATATATTTTTCATGAACATTAACTTATTAGACACTGAATAACTGCACAAATTAATAACCATAACGCAAATAAACCAATTTTCCTTGTTCTCCGAAAGCGAAAAATTTCCTGTTGTGCATGCCAAGCAAGTCAGTACAAGACTAATGACGTGGCCATAGGCTGCTAAAATATTCACTGCTAGTATTAGTTGAGAGAAATGGTGTGCCTGTGGGTAAGGTGAGTAAGGGAAATGAATGCAACAGGATTATAGTAATCAGTCATTAGGGAACGTTGTAGTTCATTTTTAATAATTATGTATAACAAATATTGTAAAAATTAAGTTATAAAATTTTTATTAAAACATGTCTTACATACTGTTATATTGGCTGGGCCGCACAAATATTAGTTGTGGGCCGCATGTGGCCTGCGAGCCGGGAGTTTGACATGCTTGTTTTATAGGTTTAATAGAGGGATTAAGCACCTAGCCTGGATTCTAAAGTAACACAGACTCAGTTTGTATCCCAGGCTCCTTCACTTACTAGCTGTATTGCTTGATAGAGTTACTTTAAATTTTAATTTTCCCAACTTTAATATGGGTATACTAATACCTACATCGCATGTTTATTGTGAGCCTTAAATAAGAGCACTGTTTAGTGGTAATACAGAGCCTGGCACATTTTAGTATATGTGCTGCCTACGTGAGCACAACATTTTAAGTACACAATAAATATTAATTTTATCTACTTCTATATGTAGGTAGTAAGGCATATTTTAAAACAGAATTCTATTTCTCCTTGACATATAGAGCTATGGAAGACTGATAGGCATTTTATCACAGCTACATCTTGAGTGCTTAGAAGCAGATAAGCACTGTCCAGGCTTTCCTGACGTCAGAGATTGTATTTTTTTCCCCTAGGTATTTCCAAGTACTTTTGTCTTGCCAAAAAGGAAAAAATTGAATTAATCTAGCCAAAGAAATAAGTGATTTCAGCCAAGAGAGAAAGAGAGAGAGCGAGGGGGGGGGAGAGAGAGAGAGAGAGAGAGAGAGAGAGAGAGAGAGAGAGAGAAGAGAGAGAGAACATATTTGAAAAGACCATGCCCATTCAAGATCTTTAGTATTGTAAAATATACAGAACATCTAAGGAATAAAATTTCCAGCTAAGCTGGGCTTTCTATTTTTTTAATCATCTTTAAGAAAATATTATTTTAATATATTATTTACTTAAGCCCTGGTTTAGGAGCTAGGAGATCTGGGTTGTTAGAAGCAGCATACACTTAGAATACAAACCTATCTCTATTAATTCATAGTTGTGTGATCTCATGCATATTTTGGTTTTGCTGCTTTGAGTTTTATTTTCCTCAACTATAAAATGCTCATAACATTTTCCAATGTTTTTTTTAATGAGAGTTAAATGACAAAATGTACATAATGTTCTTGGCACATAGTAGGGACACATAGAAGGGTAACTATTATTGTTTTTACTAAAGTCCATCTTTCAAATACTTCTCTGCAGATAACCTGCATCTGAACCTTCTGGAGAGTTTATTTAAAATGTAGATTCCTAAGTTCTTAAAACATCTGAATCAGAATCCTAGGATGAGGCCTAGGCATCTGCACTTTATTTAAAGGCCTCACCCATCTCCTTGTCTGAGTTTGAGATATGAAAGCTTTTCGAAGAAAAAAAGTCTGCATTTGGGTTTTTTGTTTGTTTTCTCAGTGAGTCTTGGGGGAATGGAGGTATTTTGGAAGCTGGAACTTTTCAGTCAGAGTGCTGAGGAGAGACCTTTCTATGAAGAGACTAAGGAAGCAGGGAAGTGTGTTACCTTCAAATGCAAGGTCCAAAGAGCTCAGAAAATGTTGAGAGGGTGCAAAACAGTGCAGGTGGAGATGGAAGTGGATTTATAGCTGACCTCTATAGAAATGAAAGTTTAGGTGGGTGTAGGACCAGATGGGCTTGAGGTTTTTATGGTGACTGAGGAGGATGAAGACAGAGTCATCCTGTCTCCAAAGAGAAACTTATTACATAGTTGTTTGATGCCAGAGACAGTGCATAGTCAACATTTTATTTTCACAGTTTAAATAATTTAAAAAATAGATTACTAATTGGAGATAAGATAAGGCTTCTCTGCAATAATAGTTAAGTTGTTACAGGAAGATTATTTTCTAGTTGTTTGGCATGAGTTGGAAAACTGCCCTATGCTTTATAACTAGAGCATCTAAAACCTTCATGTTTGGAAACATAAGGTGCTTGACATTACTTCGTTAGGCAGGTTACTTTTATATTCCCAGAAATCATATAATGTAAACAGACACCTTTCACTGTGGCTGTAATAGCTAGAAAAAAGGCATGACAGTAAATACACTGAGTTCCCCTACTATTCATTTAATTAACTAGACATCAATACATATTTTATTTTACTATATTTAAATATTTGCAATAATACTTCCTGTTTCTAGAGTATATGTTACTGGAGAACAACCACATTAATTAACTTACAGGTCATTTGTGGGATGAACAATAGATACCACTATATACATTTTTCAAAGAGATAAACTGAGTTCTAGAGCAACTAGGCTTTCAATAACAATGCAAATACAAATACGGCACTGGAGTGTGAGTAATGAAAGCAATTGTAATCTTTTATACCAGCCTATGGGAAATATATAATGCTGTTTTTTTTAAGGCTTCTAAATATGGTAAGGAATAGAAGGGCTTTACTCTTATGATATGTGTGCTTCGCTCTTTAATCTTTCACTTATTTTTAAAACCTCTGACATTCTATAAATCCAAGCTTGTGGGTGACTTCCTTAAAAGTGTTGTCTGGGCCCCTACAATGGAACCAACATATCAGCTTTAGATTCCACATATCTTTACAAAATGACTGTAGATGAACTACATCCTTCTAGGATACATCTTTTTCTGGATTGTGAACTTCCTCAGGACAGAGACTACATCTTTTATATCTACAGCCCCAAGGCCTGCCACAGTGCCATAGCACACAATACATATTGTTGAATGAATGACCTAACTGAATAAAATGAATTACTGATTACCTTTCACTTGTCTTTTCCCATCCTCCTATTCCCTTCCTCAGGGAAACTGAAGAAAACATTTATGATTCACTTATATCTTGAATATTATTGTGAACTCCTAAGAATCTAACTGAGACAAAAATGGAAGCACTAAGAGACAGACATTTGTTTTCCAATTAAATTGATTTGAGCCAGTGGTACTTATTCAAAAGATTTGAAAAAGCTACTTTGACATTAGGAGTAGTTTCTAAACTAAATAAATATACATATTGTAGGTGTCATTTTGAAACAAAACCAGTTTCATTCCATAAAGATAAAGAAGTTTGGAATCTTAAAACAGTAAGCATATCTACTATAAAGAAAATGCAGTCTCGAGCACATATCAAGCATAAAGATTTTTTAAAACACCTTTATTTAATCATTTTTAAATGATCTCTTTTTAAAAGTTCCTTAAAAACTTCTCATTGTTTTTAGGATAAGATCCAAAATATCTAATGTGAACTACAAGCTAATTCATTGATCCTTTAAAAATATATTGTCTATTACATATTTTAGGGTCAGAAAATATGGTGGTAAATGGGTGAGGCAAAGCCTCAGTTCCCAAGGAACTTAAGCCTGGGGGTGGGTGGGCCAGTGGGAACTGACAGACTATAAACAAATACTACAATCAATGAATAACATAAACTACAAAATAGACAAAATACATTCCAATGTGATGAGTGTTATGAAGAAAATAAAATGGAATGATTTTCTACAGAAAATAAGCTATTCTTTCACTTCCTCAGGCTCTATTTCCTCACCCTAGCAAAATTGTACAGGTTATTCCCACTCCCAGAGCTCCTCCCTAATCTGCCTTTCTTCCTAACCATCAGTCTTCCTTTAGCTCAGATTTCAGCTAAAAATGGCAATTTCTCTAAGTTAAATGTTCCCTTTATATATCCCTCCCACTGTATCCACATATCTCCTTTGTAAAACTGTTCATTACATTTATAAGCAATGTCTGTCTTGCCACAAGGGCAGAATCTTCTTGTTTGTGGTCTACCCATCTATTCCCAGTCACCAGCATATATTAGATGATCAATACATTTTTTTGAATAAATGAATAGAAGGAAGATTGGAAAATTCTTTTACTTTTATCCTGTTAAAGGACATTTCACCAGGAAGGGGTAAAAATCATTTGAACATCATGAATACGTAAAAAGCACATTGGTGAGAAATTCAATTAGGCTGCAAGAAAACAATGAAAATTATTCAGTGGTTTCTTCCTTGGGTTCTAGGTGAATTGAATGCCAAAATTGAATAAATAGTTGCAGCTCCTTGATTATAAATGAGCATGAAAGAATATATGAAAGAGATAAGTAAGGGAAAGAAAGAAAGAAAGAAAGAAAGAAAGAAAGAAAGAAGAAGGAAGGAAGGAAGGAAGGAAGGAAGGAAGGAAGGAAGGAAGGAAGGAAGGAAGGAAGAAAGAAAGAAAGAAAGAAAGAAAGAAAGAAAGAAAGAAAGAAAGAGGAAGAAAGAAAGGAAAGAAAGAAAGAGGGAGGAGGGAGAGAGGGAGGATGGAAGGAGAGAAGGGTATACTTGAATGAAACATTGAAGAAATAAGTGGATGTAGAGATGTTTTCTTTTCTTTTCAGATTCAAATAGACTTTTCTTTGAAAATGAAAATGACCCCTCTTCCCAATACCAAGTAGTGCATGCACATTGTAAAATATTCAAAACAACACAGAAAGAGGTAAAGAATGTTAAAATACCTAATAATTCCTTCACATTTTATTTGCCTGTATATTCATCTAGACTAGTGGTTCTTAACCTTGGCTGCACATTAGAACCACCTGGGAATCTTTTTAAAATCCTGATTTCTGGGCCTCATCCTCCAGAAATTCTGTTTCTGTTACTAATGTTGTGGCCCCACCCCATAACAAAGAAACAGAATTTCCAGAGGATGAGGCCCAGAAGTCAGGATTTTAAAAAGATTCCCGGGTGATTCTAATGTGCAGCCAAGGTTGAGAACCACTGTTTTAGAGAGCATGGAAGGAATGGGGAGGGACACAGAGAGAGAAAAGTCGATGTGTTAGAGAGAGACACATCTATTGGTTGCCTCCAGCATGCACCACAACCAGGGCCAGGGATTGAGCCTGCAATGAGGTACATGTCCTTGACCAGAATCCAATTTGGGACCTTCAGCCCGAGGACTGATGCTTTATCCACAGAGCCAAACCGGCTAGGACTGATATTTCAATGATTAACATTACATACATCTTTGTCCACTTCTTTTCCTTAAAATACATTTCTGTATGTGTCTTGTTGGTTAAACAGTATGGATATGTGAGGCTTTTGACACATATTGACAAATTGCCTCAAAAATATTATATCAATTTGTAACAGCAGCAAACAAGCCATTTCATAGGCTTTTCATCAACAATATTATCGGAATTTTATTCTTTGATATTCTGAGGGGCAAAAAGAGAAATCCCATTTTAATTTTTATTTCTGATTACTAGTGAGGTTGAACATTTAAATTGCCTATCCATGTCCTTCTCAGATTTTTAAATTGTGGTATTTATTTTTTAAAATCAGTTTATAATAGCTCTTTAGGGATTAGTGATATTAGCCAGATATGTTTATCATATATTTAGCATTTTGTCAATTATGTTGACTTTTAATTTTATCATAAACTAGTATTACCCCATAGCTGTCATCTGTCATGTTGAAATGTTTTTTTTTCAGTTTGCTATTTGTCTCTTAACTTTACTAACCTTACATTTTGTCATTCAGAAGCTTTACTTTTATTAATGAAGTCATATTTAATAGTATTTTCACTTTTGGACTTGTGTCATATTTAGAAAGTTCTATATCCTCAAGGGTATACACATATTTGCTTGTATTTTCTTCTACTTCTTTTATGATTTTATATTTTATGTTAAGCCGCGTTTGCATTAAGAATGTGTTAAGGAGTTGGTAATGTTATTACCATAAGCTCAATATCAGGCTTAGTAACATTACAGGATACTGAAGAATTCCTTTTATATGTTCTAGGTAAAAGTTCTAGTATGTGATTATGTAATACAAGACAAAAACTGAGTAGAAACACAGCACTTAAATCATATTCACATACTGTCAAAAATGACAAGATCAAGCCTGCTGGAAAGCGAGTTGAGGAGGAGCTTATGAGGGATATTGGGGAACTGCTTGGAGTAAAATACTTATATTCCAGGCTGATAAAATGGCCTTCATGCTGAGGAAGCGTTCTCTCAAAAAATATTTGAGGGACTACTATGAGCTGACTGGGGAGGTGACAGTGAACAACAACAACAAAAAGAGGTTCACTGCTCTTAAGGGTTGAGGTACACAAATAATGCATTTTAAGATTAAGTGCTTTAAAGTAAATTAAGCAGGTAAGGAGATGGAGAAATTGATATGTTAAATTGGGTGGTTAGGGACGTCTTTTCTGGGAAAACAACAATTGAGAAGAGGCTTGTTTTAAAAATAAACAGCTTCTAAAATTTCTAATTCCTGAACATTTTTCTGTCAATAGCATAGACTAATGGTTACGAACTTTAGACTCCCTAAGTTACAGCATAGGACCAATATAGCTGGAGTGTTACTCAAAAAAAAACAACAACAGAAAATGGGAAAAGAAACACGGAAACACCCAAAAACTTGGGTAATGTTATTCTTTAACTGTGAAACTGGGAGTTAGATTTTGTGTGACTTATTCCGAAGTTTCCTGTAGGCATTACCTCCTAAGATCTTCCTTAACTGCCCTTTACAAATTCCAAAGTTATCAGATTTTCCCACCCTTTTACAATCACCGCCCCTTTTCAAGTATTTCAGGGAGTTACCTTCTGAGAGCCCATCTCTGACCACTCTTTTTTTGAAATTGCAATTCGTCGCACTCTCTCACCCCTTTCTCTCACTTTTATTTTCTCTCTCTCTCTCTCTCTCTCTATCTATAAGAACTCGTATTTTGGTCTGTTTTTATTTCCGCCGTATCCCCAACATGTACAACAGCGCTTAACATACAGTTGGCGCTTAATAAATATATATCTTGAATAAAAGGTAGGATGAACTAGTCTGGATTGTGTGAAGCGACCTCAAGTTAAACTATTATCACATTTTTAGCTCTCTGAAAAAACGGCTTCAAGCCATCAGAAGGTGACGTGCTTCAGTTTTCAAAATGGGAAAGCAAAGGTTCCCACAATTCTCAGAACGCGAATTTCTCGCCACAGTTCAAAATGGCGGAGGAAGGTGGGGCTTGTCACACAGTGGGCGTCACAAGCAGCTTTCCTTTTCCAGGCCGCAGCCCGCCTTGCCGCCCGCGTCGGCGTCGTCCGCTGTCCTCCCTCCTCCTCCCGCCAAGCCTTTTCGAGGAATCGCCTGGGATTGGCTAATAGGCTGGGGAGGGGGGGTTTGCGGCCCCAGACAAGGTATCATCACTTCCTGTTGTGGGCAGTCGTTTCCTGTCGCTGCTTGGTAACAATGGGGGAGATAATGGCTGCCTGAGCAACGTTTCCCGAGCGGGCGCTGGGCTAGAGGCGGGTCTCAACCAGCGACTCATTGGAGGCGGGCCTGAGAGCGGCGACAAGAGAGGCGCGCAGGAGCCTCGGCGGCGGCGGCGGCCTTACCGACCGACTCGGATTCCGACAACTAAAACCGAGTAAGTGAAGCTTTGGGGTTCCTCTGAGAAATGGATGGAGAGCGAGAGGAAGACAGCGGAGTTGTGGCTGCTGCTTTTTCTCGAAATGGCCTGAGTGGCCTGTGGTGGAGGAGGTTCGGCGCCGCTTCCGGACCCCAGGCGCTGGTTGCTGCGGGGGGCTCCGTGGCGTAGTCGCCGCTGCCATTTTAGTTGGGTGTATAGTCGACAGCTTTCTGAAGGGGATGGTACTGGGGAAATATTTCCTTTCTGTGGCCGCGCTACCCGCAGCCAGGAACCTGCGGAGTCTTGAGAATTTGGGGGAGGCGATTTTCAAGTTTGGCCTCAGGCGTGACAATCTTTAAATCTTTTCAGGATATTCTCTCCTTGGTTCTTTGGAGACTTCCTTCGCCTCTCTCCGCCCCTTTAACTCGGTGGGCTGGGGTTTGTAGGGGAAAAATCTGGCTGCTGTAAGTCAGATGCTGGGAATCCTTGGGCCTTTAGATTTCCCAGGATTTGCAAACCCCATTTTAAGCACTTATGCAGGGCACTATCAATTAGGCGCCCCCTGGGGCCATGATGACATCTTCCCTGAGGATCTGAGGCATATGTGGTTTACTCCCTCGCTTGAATAACCCTGGAATATCCTTTGCCAGATATCACTGTAAGGATACCCACCCCACTCCCCACCCCCCCAAAAAAGGAGGGAAAAGAAATTGCGTGTTGTTTTTCCCTTGTAAAGAGAGGAATTTGGCCGGATGATTTTCGAGTTAATTTCCGTTCAACCAACCCCCGCCCCCTAAAAAAAAGCCTAAGGGTCTTGTCTTCTACGGGCGGTACCTGCCACGTACGCCATAGCTTTAGTAACTAGTATTAACCGGTTGGGCTTCTGCTTCCTGAACACTCAGTCCCTTTTTCCCTTATGCTGATTAATTTCAAGATGGAGGAGACAGCCACGTTCCTTCCCTAGACAGTTTCACCATACTTATTCCACAGGTTAGTCCTGGAATCTGAGGCCTAGCAGGTTTGTTAAATAGGTCATTCTTTAGTTTTGGGAAAAAGGGAAGCATTTATATCAGGTTGTCATCTACCTTTTGCCCCAAAATAATTTTTTGCTAGAAATAAGGAGCCTGCACGTCCTGAATGAGAATTAACCACAATATCTTTGGGTGATTGAAGGAAGGAAGAAATAAACGTACTACTTACTAATCATTTCTTTCATTCTTAATGATTAAAGACAAAATAACTACTCATGTCATCCCATCAGGTACATTATGTTCATCCAGGATTACTTGACAGGCAGGCACGATTTTAGTCCCGTCCCCCCCCCCCCCAAAAAAAACACCCCGTTGTAAAAATAAAGTGCCCAGGAAGACCAATCTAAATACTTTTTAAAATATGATTTTAGGACCCACTTTTCTTACTGAAAATGTTTCATCCTGATGTTCTTTCATACTTTTTTTAGCTTCTGCCTTCGGCCTAGGCCACTGCTAGGACTACTTTACAGAGGTAACTGTAAAGTGCCCAATAAGTCCTCAAAAGTATCAAAATATGAAAATAATTACTGATCTGATAAATGATAAAGTAAGGCATATTTTAAGCAAGCTTATATTAAACGGTAGATTCAAAATCTTATATCTAGCATATGAGATTCCTGGTTCCTTCTAACCTCAGTCTCCCCAAATATCTTAATACCAATATTGAATTAGATTTGGTAGTTGTGTGTTTGTGTGTGTGTGTTGTGTGTGTGAGAGAGACTACAATATATAGGATGTGTATTTTTTAAAATGTGTCTATTTCAAAGAACATATAAAAGAGGAAGAATAATGGATTCTTTTTTTTTCTAGAGCAGAGTATGAAGAAAACTAAAATCCAGTTTATTGTATTACAATACTATGTCATAACAGTCAGGTAATTTATTTTTTTGTTGCGTCTCCTGATGATTTATGTATAGATTGCATGTTTTAAAATATTCTGTTTTGCAGACCCTGTAATTGGATGGGCTTATTTGATACATGTTAGTTGGTGTTGGGCATACTTCATGATGAGAATGGATGTTTTATACTGGTAATTCAAAGGGTAGTGTTTCTAAGTAGCTGGAACTCATTAGTGCTTTATCTGTGAATTTTCCTGTTTTAAAATAATGTCTGAAGTTTACCAGTACTTATGTAGAACAGAATGAACAAGATGGGTATAAATAAATACTGTTTATATGTTCATTGAATAGCTAAATAAAATATCAGTAGACTTTCTTACAGGAACATGATCTTACATTATTTTGTGTTCTATTTTTTCTCTTTCAAGATTCAAAAAGTAATTGGTATATGGTACTTTAATTGGTATTAACTCTTTTAATTATCATTGTTAAAGTAACCACATAATTTATTGCCCTAGCCAGGTTTCTTTTAAGAGCAAAAGGGACATTATTATGTTTGGACAACAGGCACAAACAAGATTGTCCCAAGCAAACTGGGATGGGTAGTTAGCCTAAATTCATAACTAACTTGTATTGAGTGCTTATGTGCTAGATCTTGTGCTATTACATGAATGATTTTATAATCATCACAGCAAAGCTTCATGAGGATATCTATTTTACTGAGGTAACTGAGACTCCAGGAAGAGGTTATTATGTCCTCAATTAGTAATTTGTCCTCAGTTAAATAGCTAATAAGTAGCAGAGCCCCCATTTTAACCCAGGTCTGCCTAATACCTGAAGTCACTAAACTTTTTTGCCTCTAGACTTAATTGCTCTGTTTAGATCAGAAATGCAAAGAAATGAAGGTTGTAATAAAAAAATCTATAGGTTATATTGCATCAAAAACTTAGGGAATCTGCTTTATGAAGCAGGTGAGACTTATTTAGCAATTACCCCCCCTTCTTTTTTTTCCCCGTCCAAGCTATTACTGTATAATTTGATAATTTAAAACCAGCAATGGTTTTATGAATGGCTTAATTATGAAATGACATCTGCAAATATTAGGCTGGTTGGATATATTCTTTCAGGTTAGTGAATATGTAGCATAGTAGGTCAAAGATGCATCTGCATTCATGGAAGTATAATGTGTATATTACTTTTTCCACAGCCCTAGTGGATTGGGAAACAGCAAATCATGGATCAGCCTCCTTAATTTACAAATTACAATATGAAACCAATTACAATGTGAAAAGTCCTGGCAAACCCAGATCAATGAGGTGCTAGAATTTTGGGCTATAGCCTTGGGCTGGGATGTGTTTTTCTTCGTTTGTCTAAATCCTTAACATTTCTGTGTAACACAAAAGATTTAAAAAGTAGGCAGTTTACTTAATCCCTTGAGGTTTTGATAACCAATATAAGAAAGCAGTAGTACTTCTGTATCTATTTTTCTAAACCTTGAATATGGAAGTTTCCCAGAAAGTCAAGCAGTTCATATTACCTTTTATCAAAAGAAATGTCTATTAGATTAAAAAAAAATCTTGGCAATTTTGAACGATTTGGGACTTATTAACTTGTGGTTTTGTTTCTGGAATACATATAGTCAATATTTTAATGTCAATTTTCTTGTATTTTAGTGCTCCAACCCAAGGATTTTAATTTCTTTAGTCATAATAGCACCTATATATGTTGAGACAAATAGCTATAGACAGTGTGTGGTATGTATATAGATTCGTGGACCTCTTCCAATAATTTCATGACTATAAGTTGGGCTTCTGTTAAAACATTTGCATGGTGATGAACTTACTGTCTGTGGGGGGGGATATTGTGTTCAATAATCTTTTCTGGAATGAACACTCTCTTTCCTCTTGCTCTCCACTTGCCTACAGGAAGGAGTTAACTCTTAATTACAATTTTCATTTTTTATTCACTAAAGTTACCGGCAGTTACATCTAAGTAGCCATATAATTTATTCAAACTGGGCCACTTTTGAGAACGAAAGAGGGCCAGGTTCCTATTAAGTACAATAGGACAACAGGTATAGACTGCTACTGTACAAACTGGGGATATATAGCCACCTTTGTCATCATTTCTATTTAGAAACACAGGTTCAGGAAGCACAGTTGTCAGCATGTTTGGTTCTGTAACAAAATTGATTTCTTCAAATAATATAAGTCATTTATGTAGATAATAATTTTTTTTAATCAAGTGATTTTAATGTAGTTTTATTTATCCTTACCCGAGAATATGTTTTTAATTGATTTTTTTTTTTTTTTTTTTTTTAGAGAGAAACATCAGTTGGTTGCCTTCCATAACCCTGACTCTGGGGATCGAACCCGCAACCTAGTTATGTTCCCTGACTGGGAATCAAACCTGAAACCTTTTGGTGTACAGGAAGAGGCTCCCTAACCAATTGAGCCACCCGGCCAGGGCTGGTCAAGTGATTTTAATTTTAAAAATTGGCTTCAGCCCTAGCCAGTTTGGCTCAGTGGATAGAGTGTTGGCCTGCGGACTGAAAGGTCCCAGGTTCGATTCCGGTCAAGGGCATGTACCTTGGTTGTGGGCACATCCCCAGTAGGAGGTGTGCAGGAGGCAGCTGATCGATGTTTCTCTCTCATCGATGTTTCTAGCTCTCTATCCCTCTCCTTTCCTCTCTGTAAAAAAATCATTAAGATATATTTTTAAAAAATTGGCTTCACTCTTATTTATTTATTTAATATTTTTATTGACTTCAGAGAGGAAGGGAGAAGAAGATAGAAACAGCAATGATGAGAGAGAATCATTGATCAGTTGCCTCCTGCACACCCCCTACTGGGGACCGCAACCTGGGCATGTGCCCTCGACTGGAATCGAACCCGGGACCCTTCAGTCCGAAGGCTGACGCTCTATCCACTGAGCAAAACTAGCTAGGGCTTAAAGTTAATTTTTGATGGAAAACTCATGTTCTCAAAAATAGTACTTTTATTTACCAGTTATCACCTAAATTGCTAGTAATCAGTAATTTTACATTAGTAACTCTTTTATAACTACATGAACCTTCTGGGCTTTGAGTAATTTTTTTTTTTTTACTTTTTGGGAATAACGAAAAGCAAGTCAGAATGGAGTTTGTGTGGATAAGACCAAATTCTAATGTAGTGAGGCAGCTCAGTGACATGGGTAATAGAAGATGAAATTCCATCTCAAGTACTGGAGTGAATTGAAATGTCATCATAATGGCTTCTTTTGAAAACTAACTTGCTCCTATGAATTGGCAGCATTTGGCTTGATCTCTGTCTTTGATTTGTTGACTTTCTTTTGATCTTATGTTTTAGAGCAGTGATGGCGAACCTATGACACGCGTGTCAGAGGTGACACGTGAACTCACTTTTTTGGTTGATTTTTGTTAAATGGCATTTAAATATATAAAATAAATATCAAAAATATAAGTGTTTGTTTTACTATGGTTGCAAATATCAAAAAATTTCTATATGTGACACGGCACCAGAATTAAGTTAGGGTTTTTCAAAATGCTGACACGCTGAGCTCAAAAGGTTCGCCATCACTGTTTTAGAGGGTTGTAATAGGCAAAATTGTGAGCTGCAAGTCAGTAGACTTGCAAAGAGATTAGACATATGAAGAACATTTCTGAATCCTTTTGTGTATTTTTGTTGTCCTTTTCAAGTGGTAGAAATAGAATATAAGTGAGGCTAAGCTAACATTGCCATACAAATAATATTTTAAAATCTCATATTGCAATAGTATCAGCAGTGGTGGAGCCCTGGGTAGCATCCTCTGATAGGCCAGTCCTGGAAATAATCAACAAATTGTGTGGGTGGTGAGAGGTATCACGCAATAAGTAAAGGCAGTGAAACATCAGCTCTCCCCTGCTTTTAAGAGGAATGCTTTATGTTTATTTTCAAACAGATAGGATAGTCACTAAAAGGGAGATTGAAATACATGAGTGAAATGGCAGTGAGAAAAGCACAGCTTTTTACCTTATGTCCTAGTTTTTTATGTTTCTTATGGTTCATTCTTCTGTCTTAATACTGTAATGTGACCTTGATTATATCTTATTCATAGTCATGAATTCATAGAACTGGAAAGTACTTTATAGTTTAACAATTCAGTACTCTAATATTGATGGAGACCCTGAGGCCCAAGTGGTTAACTGAATTGGCCAAATTAACATAGCTAGTAATAGTTAATGTTACAGACAAGACAAGAACCCAGTATTCCTATTTTTTTTTTGTTTGTTCTTTTTATACAGCTGAATACCACCCTGCTACTCATGGAATAAAAAAAGCCATCCTGGTGTTTTCAACCTTTTATTTGTCTGTTATAAATGCCATAATATTTTTAAAAAATATGTATTTTTATTGATTTCAGAGAGGAAGGAAGAGGGAGATAGAAACATCAATGAGAATCATTGATTGCCTGCCTCCTGCACGCCCCCTACTGGGGATGGAGCCCACAATCCAGGCATGTGCCCTTGACTGGAATCAATCGCGGGACCCTCAGTCCACAGACTGATGCTCTATCCACTGAGCCAAACCAGCTAGGGCCAAATGCCATAACATATTAATTAAACATTCTATATATGAAGAATTCCCAACACTTTTGGTGACTACATATGTGATGGTACATTATATCCTGACCTCAAAATCAGCAGTTCTTTGTGACTTGATTTTTTTTAACTGCATTATTTTTTTTTTCTGGTGATGGTATTAATGATCTAACATTTTCTTTATTGACACGGATAGCATGCCATTAATTTACATCTACTCTGAGGTTTTAATGAATCTCTGTTGCAAACAGAATGATGCCTGCCCTTCTCTTTTTAATGACACATTTGTATGTTGATACAATACCTATGTCTTATTTTAAATTTTTTTAATCAGCATATTCTACTTTAGAACACGGTTGAGTTTGGAGTTTGTATGAACACATGAAAATGCTCAAGATACTTTAGTAATTGGTTGATATTAGGTTACCTTGATTCCCCCCTCCCTTTTTGTTTTGA